CGTCATCAATATCATAATCAGATGCAGTATCAATAGCAATATTAGTAGAATTAATCGTCATCATAATCGGCAGCAGTAGGGAATGCAAAATGTTGTTGATCGTCATCAATGACATTGACAGCGTTCGTATTAGAGTCACCATCATCGTATTTACGGTCTTGGCAACAACATCACCATAGTCATCATCGCCACCACTGTCACTATCGTCATCGCTACCATCACTGCCATCATCGCCAGCATCACCATCATCATCATCACCAGCATCAAACTTTATCACCACCACCATCATCAAACATCATCGTTACCACCATCAGCACCACGACCAACCATCACCACAATCACCCTTAACATCACCACCACAGTATTCATCACCATCATAATCACAATCATCGCCATCATTATCAACACCATCATCACCACTGTCATGATCAGCATAATTAACTCTGACACCATCACCACCATCATCAACACTACTATCATCACCACCATCACCACTGTCAGCCCTACAAACACACCACCATTACCATCATCAGCTTCCACACCGTCATTATCACCAATCACCACTACCACCATCACCACTACCATCCCACCACCGATACCATGATCACCATCACGACTACCATCATCACCACCACCCCCTGAATAATAAACCCCGGTCCCTCCCAGTCCCCTGGAGTCTATGGGCGAGAAGGAAGGAAACTTTCCAAGATCCTTTGGCTTCAATAGAATGTTTGTTTTGTTTATTAATTAATTTCGATGTTCACATCGTTATTTTTTAGCAGATGCTATCTATCTGTGTGTGTGTGTGTTACGTGTAACTCACATCATTGGGCGAGCACGTGGTACAGCACGTGCCTTGGAGGGAGTCTGCACGTGGTCACACGTGTCTGGGCCTCCGCGTCACCGTTTGTTGATATTTAACATCGTGACAACGGGTGGAACATATTTTTTTGCTTCCCACACCCATTGTATAATTCCCCCATGATAATAGACACTCCCACAGAGATCCGAGCGCATTGTTTCACGTATTCGCTCCGATACCCCGCCCGCCATGTAGAGTTGAGGTCGGCTCGGGGTTCTCACGCCCTGAGTGAGTGTTGGGGTTCAATACATGGCCGTGTTTAGAGATCTCGAGCAGAGCAGTGCATTATAAAATGTTGCGTCGAGCTATAGGTAGGGCCCCGAAACGGGGTAAGTGAGAAGGGGCCTTTCACGGACATCGTTACAAGTGTAAGGACGATTTGACGCACTTCTCTTGAGATGGTTTCATTATTGAAGACACGTTCACTTGAAAGCAGGGCAATTTCACTAAAACCGCGACTATTATAGTTTCCTTTTGAGGCCACTGTGTTATTAATGACGAGTGTTTTGGGGTTCGGTTTAACACGTTGGCTTTCGAGACAAATATTAGTCGTAATAGAGGTTTTTGGGGTTAGATCGCGATCTAACCCCAAAAACCTTTATTATGTTTTGGGGTTGTCGTTGTTAATTGTTCTTGTGACACCACCGACGAAGCAGCAGCAGCAGCAGGAGCAGCACCACATCATTGGTGACAATATTTGGGGGCAGGCTGACTTTGTGTGCGTGTTTAGTTTTGTTGTCCTTACCCCCGGCACCTCCGATGAGCACGGTTGGCTACGTAGGGTGCGAAACGAGTTCACCGTAACATACGTACACATCGTGGGCGATCAAAGTCACATCGCTGTGCCTACTGGGATTGCAAGGTTTTGACGCTATACAAAGCATTCAAAATGCATTTGCGGAGTTACGTAAAGCTGATATCGCGATGATCGTCGTGTCATATTGTATCGTGTCGTGAAGAATCTACAGTGAGGGAAAAAAGTATTTGATCCCCTGCTGATTTTGTACGTTTGCCCACTGAGAAAGAAATGATTAGTCTATCATTTTAATGGTAGGTTTATTTGAACAGTGAGAGACAGAATAACAACACAATCCAGAAAAACGCATGTCAAAAATGTTATAAATTGATTTGCATTTTAATGAGGGAAATAAGTATTTGACCGCTCTGCAAAACATGACTTAGTAGTTGGTGGCAAAACCCTTGTTGGCAATCACAGAGGTCAGACGTTTCTTGTAGTTGGCCACCAGGTTTGCACACATTTCAGGAGGGATTTTGTCCCACTCCTCTTTGCAGATCTTCTCCAAGTCATTAAGGTTTTGAGGCTAACCTTTGGTAACTCGAACCTTCAGCTCCCTCCACAGATTTTCTATGGGATTAAGGTCTGGAGACTGGCTAGGCCACTCCAGGACCTTAATGTGCTTCTTCTTGAGCCACTCCTTTCTTGTCTTGACCGTGTGTTTTGGGTCATTGTCATGCTGGAATACCCATCCACGACCCATTTTCAATGCCCTGGCTGAGGGAAGGAGGTTCTCACCCAAGATTTGACGGTACATGGCTCCGTCCATCGTCCCTTTGATGCGGTGAAGTTGTCCTGTCCCCTAAGCAGAAAAACACCCCCAAAGCATAATGTTTCCACCTCCATGTTTGACGGTGGGGATGGTGTTCTTGGGGTCATAGGCAGCATTCCTCCTCCTCCAAACACGGCGAGTTGAGATGATAACAAAGAGCTCCATTTTGGTCTCATCTGACCACAACACTTTCACCCAGATGTCCTCTGAATCATTCAGATGTTCATTGGTAAACTTCAGACGGGCATGTATATGTGCTTTCTTGAGCAGGGGGACCTTGCGGGCGCTGCAGAATATCAGTCCTTTACGGCGTAGTGTGTTGCCAATTGTTTACTTGGTGACTATGGTCCCAGCTGCCTTGAGATCATTGGCAAGATCCTCCCGTGTAGTTCTGGGCTGATTCCTCACCGTTCTTATGATCATTGCAACTCCACGAGGTGAGATCTTGCATGGAACCCCAGGCCGAGGGAGATTCACAGTTCTTTTGTGTTTCTTCCATTTGCGAATAATCGCACCAACTGTTGTCACCTCACCAAGCTGCTTGGCAATGGTCTTGTAGCCCATTGCAGCCTTGTGTAGGTCTACAATCTTGTCCCTGACATCCTTGGAGAGCTATTTTGTCTTGGCCATGGTGGAGAGTTTGGAATCTGATTGATTGATTGCTTCTATGGACAGGTGTCTTTTATACAGGTAACAAGCTGAGATTAGGAACACTCCCTTTAAGAGTGTGCTCCTAATCTCAGCTCGTTACCTGTATACAAGACACCTGGGAGCCAGAAATCTTTCTGATTGAGAGGGGGTCAAATGCTTATTTCCCTCATTAAAATGCAAATCAATTCATAACATTTTTGACATGCGTGTTTCTGGATTTTGTTGTTGTTATTCTGTCTCTCACTATTCAAATAAACCTACCATTAAAATTATAGACTGATCATTTCTTTGTCAGTGGGCAAACGTACAAAATCAGCAGGGGATCAAATACTTGTTTTCCCTCACTGTACATCGCGGCAACACCGCAGATGGCGTAGTCTACCGTACTTGTTGTTTTCATTATTTGGTGGTGGAAGCGGTACACAACCACAGTTAACAACAACTCCACACACTCGTCATTAGTAACACTGTGGCCTTAAAAATAAAAAATGTCTGTTATAGACTCCTTGTGTGCCGTGAACAAGGGCCATTGCCCGAAACGTCGCCTGTTATACTTGTTTTTTTTGTTTTGAAGGCCACAGTACGTTTGACGAATGTGTTGGGGGGAAAAATTTGTTTAAGAAAAATACTTTATTTTATTTTATTGAGCCGACCAATGGAACCATGACTAATAATTATTAGAGGGAGAAGAGTTACCCTATTCACTATAATCGTTATTCTGTTCGCTATAATAGTTATCCTACTCATTATAATAGTTACCCCATTCACTATAACAGTTACTCTATTCACTTTAACAATTACCCCGTTCAATATAACAGTTATCCTGTTCACACTGGCATGAACAAACAAAAAAAAACGCGTAAATACTACCAGGACAGCGACTCGTGTACAATCTGAACATTCGTGGTACAAAATCCGGAGTATCTGTGTGCCATCGCCACTTCTCAAAGACGAATGCGTCAGTGGTTGCTAGGGATTGCATCATAATCATCCCCGTGACACCAGCCAATCAGTTGCCAGAGAAACAATCCTGATACGTTTGTGTGCGTTTGTCCGTGTCTATCTATCGTGTGCCGTGTCGACCTTTACAGGTTAGAGTATTTGTATGCGATTGTGCAAGCGTGTGTGCTTGTTGTCGTGTGTGATTCTTAGCGTGTATTTATGCGTGCGTTTTTGTGATGGTGTGTGTCTCTGTGTGTCTATTTGTGACAGCGTGTGTCTGTGGGTTTATGTGCGCTACAAACCGAGTGCGATTCACGCTCACAGCCAACACCAGTGACGATCATCTGAACCGGTACTGGGGCTCCCCTAGGTCGACTCAGCTTCAAATTCGCACCTGGTGCGGTGTTTAAACATTGGGGCGCAGGCTCTGGCCAACCCACCCGCTCGTGCACCGCGCCGACCTTGGTAGGCGCTCACTTACAGCACTTGCCCCAAAAGCCTGTTACAGGCTATACGGGGGAACTTTGTCCTTGTTGCGTTCGCGTGAGAGCGCGCCTGTGTGGTCGTGAGTAATGGGCAAGCCGTACGGCGGCTCTCCCGACCCGCCCCTACGATCTCACGGAAAGTTGCGCAATCCAAAATCGCGTAAAATCCTAAATCTGTGTCGACGACGCAAATTTGCAGAATCGCGTCGGCCCTTCGGTGTTCGATCATTATTATTCATTGCCAGACGCCTCCGGAAAGTAAGACGCACCACTCCGGAATGGTTTTGACCGGGTGGACAAATAAAGTTGCACGCGACAAAACGCGTTCACACACAAAAGCGGCAGGCGGAGGAGGAGTAGGAGGTAGGAGGGAGGGAGAGGTTGGTAGGGGTGGGATGCAGCTGGTGGTGGTGGTAGGAGGGTGCGGGTGTGCGTCTTATAATCCGGAGAATGCGGTGCTAATCTTTTGATTGTCTTGTTCGCTCGTGGCAGGATGGTGGATGGTGGTTGGGGCAAATTCTGACCCTCCAAGCGATGTGACGACGGTCAAGGGGGGTAAGCTGCGCAAGTCACGCGACAACATCCTTTGATTTTCTGTGTACTATGAAGACGGGCCGTTGCCCGAAACGTCACCTGTTTCGGTGTCATTGCTATCGTCTTGTCAATTGTGCTTGCGCACCATTTCCAACGCAGCAGCATCACTACCACCAGATTACCCATCGCCATCAGCAGCAGCAGCAGCAGCATTAGCAGCGATAGTAAGTTCATTGCCATCGACAGCATCGGAAGTAAAACGTCATCACGAGCCGGAGAGCAGTGGATGCGCACGTGGCCTGTAATCCAGCGGTGGGGGGTGAGGGGGGGGGGGGGGGGGGGCAGCGAGGGTTGGCGGACCACTCGCAGATGTTGTTAGACTCCCTTCCCGCTGGCGTCGAGGAGATGCCATCCCACGGGCTCGCCAGAACAACAAGGGGATAGAACAAACGCGCGGACTAATCTCGTGGGAGGAAGTTGGATGGCATGGGATTGAGCGTTGCCACCCTTGCACGCATGGGGTTTTCTCCCGGTCCTCCGGTTTCCTACCGCAGACGCGTAAACATTCATTCATCGGCTGGAAACATCTTAATAGCACAGAGGACCGCGGAGCGTGGGCAATTGGCGCTATTGCGACGGCTTCTTGCGGCCTGGCTGCTGCTGCTGCTGTTACCCTCCCCGTTCGTCTGTGGTTTCTCCACGCTCCTCTGAGCCGTCCTCCCCCTCTCTCTCTCTCAGTAGCATCAGCAGTGGCTTCATCATCAGCAACAGCAGCATTAGCAGCAGCAACATCATCAGCAGTGTTGTAGTATCAGCAAGTAGCTTCATTTATCAGCATTAGCAGCAGTAGATGTAACTTCAAGATCAGCAGCAGCAGTAGTTATATCATCAGCAGTAGCATCTTCAGCAGCATTGTCAGCAGCAGCAACAGCGGCAGCAGTAACTTCAACAACAGCAGCAGTTGAATAATCAGCAGCAGTAACATCATCAGCCGCAGCAGCAGCTTCATCATCAGCTTCATCATCAGCAGCAGCATGAGGAGTAGCATCATAAACAGCATCAGCAGCAAGATCGCCATCCACACGATGTGAATGCCGACGTTGTTTAACGGGGCGACGGTGTGATGATTCTCAAAATCCGCGTTTGTTCGTTTCTCTTTGCTGGCAGTTTTGAGCACGTTGAATGCAGTCAACCCCTCCGCCAGCACATCTCCTCCACTAGCAACGCCCGCAACGACACAACTACCATCGAAGGCGACCGTCACACAGCCGACAAAACAATTAACTACTCTCAATAAAAGCAACAACGTCGCATCATCGCCATCATCAACAGCACCGTCGTTATCAACCCCATTATCATCAACACCACCATCATCAACGCCACCCTCATCAGCCACAACAACATCCGTCGCAGCAGCGGCAGCGGCGGCGTCACCAGCCGCAATAGAAAAAACGTCTTCGCACGCAGTTGCCACACCGGCAACAAATACAGCATCCACCCCCGCAAACACCAACAGCATCACCCCCACGAACACCAACAGCACCACCCCCACGAACACCAACACCACCACCCCCTTCGGCAACAACAACCGCACAAGCGCCATCGCCGCCACCACCACCGCGACCACCATCACCACCGCCGCAAACGAGACCAACATCGCCACTTCCCCCAGTACGAACGCGACGGAGTTACCCAACAACGCGAGCATCACGCTGCAGACTGCCAATTCCTCCACGGTTACCCCCACGTCGCCCTCCTCGTCCACCTCCCCATCCGCCACCCCCGGCGTGTCTCAGGACGCTGCGACCGTGGTCGGTACTGGCACGACTCCGCCATCGGCGACAGAAGCCGCGAATTCGAGTGTGACCACTGCTGGTGGTGCTGCTGCTGGTGAAATCAATAATAATAATACGAATAATAGATTCGACGCATCCACTGCCAAGACTGCGACGCCACAGGATGCGAGTGAAGGTGGAGTGTCGATCGATGATCGCGGCATCGACGGCGGCAAAACGCTTCCACCGCCGACTGCTCGCCCAAGCAAGACCGAGGTAAAGTGAAGCGGAGGACTTTGAAGCTGGTCAAGGATGCGTCCTTATTTTAAACGCCAAATCACAACCACGCACTTCCACTCGTCATCCAAAGCCATTCCTGAGCACTCCCGACTTTAATTCGCCCGTCTCACCAAGTTTCCCCGCCTATCGCATTCTCGGTGTGTCCCACCCGTTCACAATCCATCCCCGCACCAATTCGATCGGAGTGTCCTCCACTCAATCGTCGGATTGCGTTGCCGTGCACGGCAGTGACCCCTGACCCTTCACCCGTGGTTGTGGGTGAGGATGTGTCGAACATGCTCTACAGGAGTAACAATAATTACAAGAACAAGTGCTGCGTGATCAGCTCGGTTTAATGATTGGTACCTGTATGCATCCATGATGTTGATGATGATTACATTATGTTAATGCGATGCTAGTGTGTTGAGTAACTCATGATGATGGTGGTGGTGAGGGTAACAATACATAATGATGGTGGTGATGATGATGATGAAAATTACATTGGTCACTGAGTGATGGTGAGTACCAACATTGATGATGAAGCGTCAATGATGATGATGATAGTGGTGGTGATAATGGTAAGTACATTTTGTACTTGAGTGAGTGTCTGTGTAAGAATTGATGACATGTTTAATATATTGCTATTGAACTTGTTGCTAATTGAGTGTAAACAATGATGATGACGATGATGATCATTGTGAGTGATGGTGAGTGTAATATTTGAGGATGATAATTGTTGCATTGTTTAAATGTATTTATAATTATGATGTTGATCATTTGATGATGCCAATGAGAGAGGAGTGGGTAGTTACAGACTGACACCAACAATAACCAAACTCCACTACAGGGACAGCTGCTATCAGGGGGTCCCCTAGGCAAAAAAATAAAACCCGGCGTTCTCATACTGTTGTTACTTTATTGGCACAGTATAAATGTAGTATAAATGCTGATATATATATCCGTGCCAAATTACAACTCTCTAGCCCTTCGAGAGCGTCATTGGGACTCACATCAGCCACTCGCTCTGAAGGATCCTCCCAATCTGCAAGCGAGAGGGTCCTTCCTTCTCTATGAACATCTGGTAATTCACCAGCATTGGTTCCAGCAAGCCAGCCTCTGCCGATGAGACAGTGAATGTCGAAACCGGTCCAGAGATATTTGTTTTTGTTACTTTGTATTGAACAGATTCTGCTGAAATGATGCACTGGCAAAAAAAGGCCGGTGCAGCCGATGGGATGTGTGAAAACAACAGCGACGAAATACAAAGGATGTGTTCATGTGCAGGGACAGGCTCGCGAAGGAGGCGCGTTGTCCGCGCATTTATGTCAGAATAAGAATATTTATTTAGGCTGGAGGAATCCGATGAGCTATGAAGCTCTTTCTCACAGCTATCCAGTAGGGGCGGGTCAGAACGTTACTACAACAACAAAGGCAGGAGATAAGAGCGCAGAGTAGAGGAAAGGTCAGCAAATCACTAAAATGTATACGTACAAATAAACGCAACTACTTTATTTTACCAGGTAAAGCCCACCGAGATCCTCAGTTCCCGTCAGCCTGATGTAACGCACACACGCACGTGGCATGCACCGAACATTCCTCGCGTTCCCCGTACCCCTCCGTTCCATCACGGAGAACCCCCCCCCCCCCGCTTCCCCTCCCTTCTTACCCCTTCCACCCTCAGACACAAACCCCATTACTCCCCTGCCCCCCCCCCCCCCACTCTTACATCCCCCCCACGGCTGTGAACTCCAACAACTACCAAAGTGTTGCTTGTGCTGAACTAATGCTACTGAAGTAAATCATTATTGTAAGTCCCAGAAGGCCGTGCGGCTGGTGGGATGTGTACATTATAAAGATTAAACTTTCTCACGTGGAGGGAGGGATTGTGCATGGGAAGGAGGCGGCATACTGTCTGCTTGGTTATTTTAATTTCACATGTAGAGCAGTGTTCTTCGCTAAATTTCAGAGGGAGGGTGGAGGCACTTTCGCCGATGAGACATCAGTGTGAGAGGCATCACGCATTTGAAATCATTGGAGGTTTGACAGCACTATAATGATGGGGAGGTGTTTTTTTTTGTATTTGTGTAGTGTCGGGGGCCGCACTAAAGGCCAAAATGGTCCACCAGCGGCTCGCGGGGCCTTGCAATGAAGACTGACCAACATCATTCGTAATTAAAATATGTTTTATGTTGGCCTAAATTTGCGTAAATGTCAATGCGTCCTAAACCCACCTCCACCCTGACACAGCCAATCAGCAAGGTTTGTCGGTCGCGCGGAACAGAACGTCACAAAGCGCGAATCTACTTCAACACCACCGGTTGGGTGCTGGAGAGCAAACCCACGTCGACGCTGACAATATGAGCTGACGGCGTTCACGCTCGTGGTCACAACAACCGGCGTCGTCAGGCGATTGCCAGAAAAGTGAACGGGTTTTCTTTTTTTTTTATTTCTGGTTCCCGCTCTCGGCGGGAACACGGCGATGTCACCACTGTGCGTCTATCTTCCAGGCCAAGGGTCGCACGGTTTGGGCCGGGAGGGGCACACCCAGAGATCTTCACTCATTTTCAGAGGGTGGGGGGGGGGGAGAGTGGGCCACTTTCGCCGATAAGACATCGTCAGTGCGAGGGCCGCCGCACATTCGAAACCATTCGCGGTTTGACAACACGCAGATGACGATGGGGAGGGGGGGGACTGTTTTCACACGTTGTGTATTGGTCGGGGGGGGGCACGCCAGGGGGACGCACTAAAGGCCACCAGGGACCACTAGTGGCTCGCGGGCCTTGCAATAAGGAACGCTGGGATGCGCGGTCCCGTAACGCGACGCTGGGGGCTTCAGTGGGATCAAATATGGGGATGGGTTGGGGTGGACAAAACGAAATAATAATAATTAAAACAACATGAAAGTTGTACTGGGATAATTTAAAAGCGAAAGACTGTTTTAATGGCAATCCGTGAATTACACTAGACTCCTCACGAATGTAGAGAATGTAGCGGTGTCATTTTTTTAATACAAATTGAGCCCGGAATTAACGCTATACAAACACACACGTGTTCCTTTACGTATTAACAAGAAGAAGGGAAAAACAAGCCAACATGTACACTTTAAATAACTTTTAAAATAAACAGCCGCGATAGGGCATGACCCACGCACCAAGTTGAATTCCGGGGTGTTGGGCGGTGTGTGTGTGGGGGGGCTATTGACGCAAGTTTTCTCTACCCTTGACCTGCCCTGTCCATTCTCACTCGACACAGCCTAAATCTCTTGCGCGGGCTCCAACATCAATCAGGGCTATAGGAGTGGAGGATTGCAACGGGTACATCTACCGGTCATCATCATTATAAGCCACGATCAATCCAGGTCCACGTCCAGATTGCATGGGAGACTCAACATGGCCTCTTCAGTTCTCACCTGAGAAGTATGGTTTGGTCTACAGTAGAAATAGTGACAACCCGAAATGTACGTTTGTATGTATGCGTATATGTCTGCAGTGGTGGGGAGCGGTGGCGCAACGGTTAATGCGCTGCGCTACGAACCCGGCGACCCGAGTTTGATTCCCGTTCGCGGCCAAAATCAGTGAGGTCGACTTATCCTCAGATTAATACCTGGTGTGGTGTGTAAACATCACCACTGTGGAGACAAAGGCGACCAGGCGTGGTGCTGACCGCCCACCCCATGTGCCGTGCCGGCCTCCGATCAGCTTGCTCCTCACCAGCAACACTTGCCCCCAACAATCCGTTAGGGCTCTACGGGGGATCTTTGTCTTTGTGGTGCTGGCCACCCACCCCCTCGTGTGCCGTGCCGGCCTCCGATCAGCTTGCTCCTCACTAACAACAACTCGCCCCCAACAGTCTGTTAAAACAACACGTGGGTGATCTTCATGCACGTGTCTTTGTCTTTGTGTTCCTCACAACCCCCCCACCCACCCACCGCCCCCCCCCCCCCCCCCCCAGGCCGTGACCGAGCCCGACAGCTCCGACAGCGGCCACCAGGCGGCGGGTGCCGAGCGTCCGGGCGGCCCGCGTCACAACGTGCGCACCGTGTTGCTCGCCGTGGGCTGCTCGTGCCTCGTGCTGCTCGTGTCCGCAATGCTGCTCTACAGCAAGCGGCGCACGCGCAACAAGAGCTGGGTGAGCAGGCGGTGGCGGCGGCGGCCGTGGCGGCAACACTTAGGCAGTCGTAACCCCCCCCCCCGCCACCCAACGCCGAGTTTTTAGTTTGCTTTTGTTTATCTCACCGGAGCGACAACTATACAAGGGTGCCAGTAGGATGAGTCTCATAGCGCACGAGTGTGGCCCTGGGTGCGTGCCGTGTCGGCCTTTATAGGTGCTCGCTAACAGCACTTGCCCCAACAGTCTGGTTCAGGCCAGACGGGGGATATTTGTCTTTGTTAGTGTGGCAAGTAGGGGAGGGAGGGAGGGGGGGGCGAGGGAGACGATGATTGCCACTGTTTATAATCCACACGAGATCACGAATTGAATCGTAAACCACCATCACGTCCTGGCTGGCCATCAACCAGAGACGGTCACTGCGGCCGTCTGGAACGCTCTTCCGTCCGATATTGGAAAGCCACTGGGACGCTATGCACGTTCAAAGCATCTAGATTGACAAACCCATTTTTTATTGCCTTTTTGTGTTTAGTTTGTTGTCCTTCCCCCGCACCTACAATTTGCACGAGTTGTCTACGTACGGTGCGAAAGAAGTTCAACATACAAACATTCGAATTTTCAATTGCAAAAGAGTGACATGGGTGCATTAGTCTGCAAATAGGGGGGGCAACGATTACTCTTGCGAATGTGACCAAATATGACCACAACTCTGGCTGTCACCTGATGAAGCTAGTTGTAATTACTGGCGAAACGTCCTACTCAGTTTGTAAATGTTGTGGCTTGGCTCTCCAACACACCGGTGTGCTGTGCTAGCGACGAATTGGCCACGTTCTGTTTACGTGACAACCCTTACTAGTTGGCTGTGTCGGGTGGTGGCGAAATTTAATGACACATTTATATGTTTACGCGATCTAACCCCAAAAAAAACCCTCTATTATGTGACCATATCCTGCTCTCTCGATTCCTTGCCCCGTTAAACAAAGTGAACTTTGCGTGACTATCGCCGAGTCACGTTGCCCATGCCTTGTTGGCAATGTTGTTTCGCATCTTGCCGATGGGCGGCTAATGTTTCCGCGTTTGAGGGCCTCAAACTCCTGGACGGGTTGTAAGAAATCTGCAGTTTATCGGTAAAAAAAAATGTTGAGGCAACTGCTGAACGAGTGCTTTGCGAATTAAGCGACAGTAACGTTGAATAGTGCGGCATGGAGCTCTATTGGAATCTAATGCAGTAGGCCCACTACACTTTAGGAGATCGTGACCCAACGAGAACGCCCGGTCAGTCAAAAGTCATCGCGGGATCGTGAGAGGTCATCAGTTTAGCGGCGGCTTGTGGCGGCCTTCGCCCAGCCAGTGGATTGACCACGCCTGATGCACGCTCACCATCTCTCCCTCCCTCTCGTCCTCCTCGCGCAAAGTACGTCCACAACGACCACCAGGTGCTCGAGAACCCCTGCTACGAGAACGGTTGCCACGACAACGGCGGGAACAGCAACGGCGGTTGCCACGACAACCCGGCGATGGAGGCGATCGCGGGCGGCCCGGCAGCGGCTGCGTCTGCGGCGGCTGCGGCAGACGGCTGGCCCGACGAGGCGTGGAGGTGCGACACGAGCCCCCCGCTCCGCCCGCCAGGCCGGGCCGCGCCCGCCAGGATGATGGCGTCCCCCTCGGTGGGAGTTGACGCGTGGGTCGTGCCGCTGGACAACGTGAGCTCGGGAGACGACCCGCTCGCGGGCCTCATGCAGGACACGCGCCTGTGACGCGCGCGCGTTTGCGCGCCTGTGACGCGCAAGCCCGCGTGCGCGTTCGCACGCGGGCGCCCCCTCGCGGCAGCAGCGTCCCTACAGGCAGCAGCAGCAACAGCACTCGCAGGCAGCGCCAGTAGGACGAGAATAGCACGAGCAGAGCCAACAGCAGTACTAGCAGCAGCACAAGGGGCAGCACCAGCAGCGGCACCAGCACGTCCGCGAGCAGCGCCATCAGCACCACCAGCAGCACGGACAGCACCAACAGCAGCAGCACCGCCAGTAGCAGCGGTAACAGCGCCACCAGGACTAGAACATCCCTAGCACCGCCAGTAGCAGCAGCAGCAGCAGCAATAACAGCGCCAGTAGGAGTAGCAGCAACAGCAGCATCAGCAGGATTAGCACAGCACCCGATCAGTGCGGATTCGGGCAGTGGTTCTTCACCTTTATCGCAGCCCTTGCACTCCTTGGGTATCAATCGTAAAAAAAATATATAACGTGAATAAGTACGTAGGTTCGATGAAACAAAGTGTTTGTGCTCACGTGCCCGTGCTTAATTTGTGTTTCGATGATTTACCTTCTAAAAAATAAAATCTGACCGTGTCTCGCACCACCAGAAAGGGCATCTCGCAACCCCAGGGGGTGCACCCCATGGCTTAAGGGATGCTTGCGGTGACGGATGGAAGTTCGTGGAGTGGGGTCCCCGTTTAGTTCGCGGGACTTTGCGTCGTGTGGCCGCGGGAGTGGGGGGGGGGGGGTGAGACGAAGTCACGTGCCCCCTCCGCCCCCCCTCCCCCTCTTTATCTACTGTTTGAAATATTAAAGTCTAGCTCGCTACTGTGGCAGGGGACTGTATTTTGTTTAACATTCTAAACAAGGCAAGCGTGTGTCTTTTTTTACTTCGGCTTGAGCTATGATATATAGTGCTATGGCGGCTAGTTTATATGATATTTGTTAAATGACAGTTGTATTATGTTATGAGGATGTCAGTAAGTATTATTAGCTGGTGTGTTTTACTTTATTTGTTTTACACGCGTATTAACGTACTCACCTAGTAATTTAAGCGCCAATTTTAAAATGCACGTGTTGCTTGTGTTCACGACGTATTGATTAAGGATATTATCGCGACCGTCGGTAGAAAAATCGATGTCATGACAACGCATACCTGCTGTAATGTAATGGGCATTCGACCATGATGCGGCAATCGGTTGCATTGTTACACACTCATAATCGAGACGACATCCATCGGAATGACGACAACCACCACCAACACCACCACGGATGCCATTCCGTCTTTCATCTCGACCACGCTCCATCAACCCCCGTTAGCCCTCAAGTGCCCTGCACAACAAGTCACGCTTCCCGCACAAGCCCGGTTTAGTTTTTTTTAATTAAACTGTGGCCTTAAAAGGTAAAAAAAAATACCCCATGTATAATAGATGACGTTTCTCGCAATGGGCCTTCTTCATAGCACATTTGCTGTCACATATATACAGGATGCTTCAAACAAAAATGTTAACACTTCGGAGAATTTGCAACAACTTCACGAGAAATGTGTCTCCTCCTGGCTCTGGAGACCACCTGGAGAAGATTCCAGGCCACGCGTTGACAAGTGGGAGGCTCTTTGACTTTTTGAAGCTATCAACATACTTTTGTTATCACGTAACAAGCATATTATTATTATTATTATCCGTTCTTTTCCAATTTAAACGATAGCCCCATATAAAGTGTTAAAAACATTTACGCCCTACCCTGTATGTGTGTTACATCGTATGGGAGCAACCCTGGAGAACTCGGCGGGGGAAGGAATTCAATGCAGAACAGAGAGAGAGAATATTCTTTGGGTCTTTCGGTAAAGTCACGTAGATAGAAAAAATACTAACAATTAAATAATAAAAAATAAAGTTGATAAAAAATATATATAAATATCACGACGCTTCTCACCTGATAACGGACGCTTGTGTTGCGACCGAAACGTCGTGTTCTTTTATTATTATTTTTCTACCTACTTGACTTTACAGAAAGAACCAGAGCGTATGTCAACCTCTATGTGTATAACGCTGTCAATAGCGAGGGTGGAGATCATTTTAAACTTGCAGATTTGGACCGGTATTGTGTTTTGTAGTCTTCATCAGCATGCCACTGTGTTGGTAACACAATTACCAAAGTGTACATAATATCCATGAAACACTCCCCACACGTAAGTGTGCAACAATATTCGTAGTTTCTGTATTGAGATTAAATTCGATGTTCTGCGCGGGATTCATTTTCGTGTGAATTGCAGTTTGCCTGCAATTCTTACAATCAGAGCTTAACAGGCAAGCTTAGAGTAGCGTAGAGAATTACCGGTGTAAGGCACTGCCACAAGCTAAGCTTCTCCATAATAACAATCCTATACGTATTGTATTGTACTCTAATTATTCCATAATCATAGGAACAGGTTAGAAAATGAGATGAACGCAAGAAGGCGGGGTTGGTGTTAGTTTGGTCACGATTACTCCAGGGTGAGCGTGCTGGGCTGTTCCGGCTGAGATTAAACATTGACGACAAATCGGAAGTTTGCACTTAAGATAACGCATGAGCACCGTGAGTAGCATTTGTACATCTCACTGCTAGTGATGAGGGGAGGGGGGGCATTGATTAATCATCAGCAGCCAGCCAGTCCACTGCTGGATGAAGGCCTTCCCAAGCCACCACTACAATCATCAGCCTTAGTTTTTCGCCCAGCACTGGTTTGACAAAATACCTGTTGTGCACGCGAATATATTCGATGTAATGGAGCGGCCTCTAGTGGACGCTACTCCCTCCCCCCGCCCCCCCCCCCCCCCCCCCCCCCCAGCTGATAGTCAGAGCTTAATTTTTATGTAATAATTTCAAGGGTAAATGAATATTTTCCAGAGCTCAGGCTGAAATGAAGGCGCGCCCTTTCGGTAGTGATGTTCTAAAAGAGAAATACGTCTTCGGATGATGCTGATAATGAAACTACGTATTACTTGTTTCGCACCGTACGTAGCCAACCGTGCTAATCGGAGGTGCGGGGGTGATGTTGTTCTGACGATGTGCTGTCTCTCTGTGCTTGTTATAGATATGATTCGCTCTGTCTCTCTTGGCTTGAGAGCACAAAGCCGCGTGTGCCTTTCTACTGTAGCGACCGCAACGTGTGGGAACATCTCCCATGGAAAGTGAAACGATATAAATATGATAATATTATTAATGATAATAAATTCCACTTACGTGATATATTAAGAACTCATCTCATCTCACTTCTGTTGGTTTATAGAATGCGTGTGTGTCTGTGTTGCTTCGTGGACAGCGTTAGTGTAGTGGTTAGCGCCCTACGCTACAACCCCATTGACTCGAGTTCGATTCCCCCTCAATGGCCAATACCGGTGGCGGTTATCTGAACCCGTCCTGGGCCTCCTCTAGGTCGACTCAGTCTCAAATGAGTAACCTGGTGCGGTGTGTAAACATCGCCATGGGGGAGACAAAAGCGGCCGGGCGTAGTGTTGGTCACCCACCCTCTCGTGTGCTATGCTGGCTCTCATAGGTGCTGCTCGCTAACAGCACTTTCCCCAATAGTCTGTCAAGGCTATACGGGGGATCTTTGTTTTTTTGTCATGTTGCTGCTTACAACTTGAAACGCGCCGCCGCCGCACTATCTGACCCGCCTCTTACTGGACGTCTGTGTAAAAAGAGCTTCGCAGCTCATCGGATTCCTCCGGGGAAAAAGTTAAGATTCCGATTCTGAGCGTATTTAGCTCACTCTCGTAGATAGAGAACGGCTCGGAGGCTCGGGGGATGGACCTCAGACGAGCGGGAAGGCAAGCAGCCACACGACAAGCCGGCGCCACCGATATAATCACTCGAGCTCTGCGCTCCTCCATACATTAAGATGTTTACAGCCGATGAATGTGCACACATGTGGGGGAAAACGGAGCACCGGGAGAGGACGCATGCCTGTGAGGGGGATAACTCTCCATTCCCCGCCAATCCCATTGATCCGACCGAGATTTTAACCGACCATTATGATGAGTATAATCGCCCATCCCATGGAATCCGACGGAGATTTTTTTTCCACCCTGTTGCTGTACCGCCATCTGCTGGCTAGCCGGAGTACTGCAGCCTCCTCGACACCCATGGCAAGGGGGGAGGCGAACACAAACGGCACGTAACGTCGAACGTCTTTCGCAGCGTGCGTTAGCCAGCCGTGCTCATGGGAGGTGCGCGGGGAAGGACAACGGCACTAAAAAAAAAAATCAGTTCCAAAGAAATGAGCGGTCGATTTAGATTTAAAATGTGTGCACACCTCCAGGGGCACCTGAGTAGGTGGCGTGACGAAGTCGTCCTCGCAGAGGCTCGCGCGGGGTGAGGATTCGCAGATCGCCGTCCCCCGGCACCACCCCACGGGGCTCGGTGTAGGCGGTCAAGCGGTTGGATATAGACGGAAAATAACATTAGCATCATTTTACGACGTCAGTAGGAGGAGGCCTTCGCGACAAATATCATCCATACTGGAGGTGTTTTGAGTTGGATCGCGTAACAATATAAGTGTGTCGTTAAACCCGACACCACCCGACACAGCCAACTAGATAAGGTTGTCACGTAAACAGAACGTGGCCAATTCGTCACTAGCACAGCACCACCGGTGTGTTGGAGAGCCAAGCCACAACATTTACAATCTGAGCACGACGTTTCGCCAGTAATTACAACTAGCTTCATCAGGCGACAGCCAGATTTATCGTCAATGTTTAACCGCTATGGACATTATCATCATCCTTAACCGGGAGCGATCCACTGCTGGATGAAGGCCTCCACGGGCGCAAAGTACTGCAGCATAGAACGGTAAAGGCGCGGCCCCGGAACGTCGTATCCTCCACCTGCCGGTGGAAGGGTCCCCACTGGGGGGATCTCGCTTGGTGTCTCCTTTTCCGTGCCGACCAGACGTCTCGGAAGAGGGGAGTGCCCACACTATACCCCACCACACACGCGACCACGTGTAGCTGCCGCCCGCTATATACTGCCGGGTAGAGATAAAGAGATAACGTGGTCGGCAACCTGCGGCTCTTTGCCCCCACGCCTCCCTGTTGCGGCTCTTTGGCTGCCCCCTTGCGGCTCTTTGGCTGCCCCCTTGTGACTCTTTGGCTGCCCCCTTGTGACTCTTTGGCTGCCCCCTTGCGGCTCTTTGGCTGCCCCCTTGCGGCTCTTTGGCTGCCCCCTTGTGACTCTTTAGCTGCCCCCTTGCGGCTCTTTGGCTGCCCCCTTGTGACTCTTTGGCTGCCCCCTTGTGACTCTTTGGCTGTCCCCTTGCAGCTCTTTGGCTACCCCCTGGTGACTCTTTGGCTGCCCCCTTGCGGCTCTTTGGCTGTCCCCGTGCGACTCTTTGGCTGCCCCCGTGCGGCTCTTTGGCTGCCCCCTTGAGGCTCTTTGGCTGCCCCCTTGAGGCTCTTTGGCTGTCCCCGTGCGACTCTTTGGCTGCCCCCGTGCGGCTCTTTGGCTGTCCCCGTGCGACTCTTTGGCTGCCCCCGTGCGGCTCTTTCCACTATGGAATGTCGTGGTGACAAGGAAATGTGCAGTCAAGCTGAATGTACTCGTAAATAAGAACCAGTAGCGGAAAAATAACTAAATAGACGCAGTCTTCATTGCGTTAATTCCATCACCTATGTTATTTATTGAAGTCAGGATGTGTGTTGTCATCTGCCGTGTTACCTGCTGTGTCTGTTTATAGGTAGCTGTGCGTGTGATGCGGCTCTCGAACTATTTTGATCAGTCGAAGACGAAAACAACACAAGGGCAATGCCTACTCTTTGGTTCTTTCGGTAAAGTCACGTAAGTATAAAATAAAATTAAATCACGACGGGTTCCCCCCCCCCCCCCCCCCATTTCAGCAATATGTTTATTGCTGGGGTTGTTTCCACCTGATGACGGGCACTTGTGTTGCGCCCGAAAACGTCGTGATTTAATTTTATTTTCTACCTACGTGACTTTACCGAAAGAACCAAAGAGTATGGATTCCAAAAGTCACGAAAACTTCAAATCTAGATTAAGGGAAATGCCTCTTTCTCTTCTTCTTCTTCTTTGCAAGGTCGCCGACCCCTGGAGCTGATCCGCGACGCCGGTGCCTGCACGTGGGCCACGGTTCCACTGGACGGCGGTGTTCAGCCGTCTCAACACGTCCACTCGACTGCGGGGAGCGGTGGCGCAGTGGTCAGCGCACCCCGCCCGCTCTGAACTCCGCCCGCCCGGGGTTCGAATCCCCGGGGCGACGAACGTTGTGCGCCGTATATGTGTGCGCTGACCTTCTTTCGCACCGTACGCAGCCCACCGTGCTGAATCGGAGGTGCGCGGGTGAGGACAACCAGAGTGACATCAGCGGCGAGTGAGAGCAAGAACCCGTCCCCTGTGCACCCTCAGTTCACCAAAACCCACACTGACCAGTGCGGTGAAGTATGGTCAAATAAACCCCCCAAAAATCGCACGGCTTCGAGAGACCGCCGTACACACCTGCTGGCTCTGGCGTTATCACAGCTGATGTCAAGTGATGCTCGTTATGGATCATGTCGGGGACAGCGCTATAGAAACACCCTGGTTTTTGTGATGAAATTCCACATTCCTATGACGGATGTGACGCAAGTTTCCCTCGCTGCAGCCTTGCGAGGAATGTTATCGACCCGGAGGGACGACGGGTGATGATGATGATGATGTTTGCCGAGTCGGCCCTGGTGATGAGGCTTATTGCCCTCAGCACGTGCCGCCCATGCAAGCGGTTCCTCGAGCGGCTGGTTGGTTATCTTTGTGCGAACCGGTTGAGATCGCGTCCATGGAGATGAGGATGGACAGAGTCCCCGAGGTGACGTTCCAAGGGGCCGTCCATAAATGACGTCACGCGATTTTGGACAATTTTTGACCCCCCCACCCCCCTCGTCACACGGCGTCACAAAAAGTCAGACCTCCCTCTCAAATATGACGTCACAAAGCTCTGCCCCCCCCCCAAAAAAAAAAACATTTCCATTTTGAAATTAAAACATGCTTCAAGTCGCTTTAAGCTATTGTTATTGTAGTGCGTATTTAATGTGGCGCTGCACTCTGATGTTGTAGGAGAAACATTTATTAAAATGTCTATTTAATTAAATAGAACGTGTTGTCTATATTTATTTAAAGTTGCGCATTTTGATGTGACGTCACATTTCTCAAACACCCCCCCCCCCTCGTCACACATCGTCACACATGTCTGACCCCCCTCCCCCCCTAGGTGCGTGACGTCATTTATGGACGGCCCTTACCGGTGGGAGATGGAGCGATGAAATCAGCTCGTGCCGGTGCATTGTTGGGGACGGATCCTTTGAGGAAGGGGTGGGTGGGGGGGACGTGGATTGGTCTTCATCGAGCAGTGGATTGACCATGGATGATGATGATGACGATGACGAATGGCTAACTCGATTGAGTATCATTTTATACGTTGTAGTTGTAAACATAATTGCGGAGCACAGGGCCCAAAGACCCAACACGTGAAGCGGCCGGCAACAATCAGCACTATCGAAGTCGCCATAGATACGAGTGTAACGCGTTCATTTTTTTCTATTAACATCATCACCGTCGTCCTGGTCGTCGTCGTATAATAGCTCGGGGAAAGGAAACGAGCGAGAAGATTCCACAATCCGGCAGTGTCCATCGTGAATCCATTCGTCTCTGGCTCTCAATCCCGATAAGATGTATGTGCGCACTACGAACGAGGGCCATTGCTCGAAACGTCGCCTATTTACGGCCGCATTGCCACTGACGCGTTGAATGTTTTTATTCGCGCGGCACAAGACATCTGGCACGGGGGTGACCCAGATGTCTTGTGATCCCCATTTAAATCAATAAAACTTAATATTTTTTTGAAAGTAATGTTTACGTAAAACAGAAATGAATATACAAAAGGAAAAACACGTGTCAGGGGTCAATTAATTGTCGGCCACAAGACATCACGGACCACCCTCTACGGACATGACAAAATATTATGTCAATATTTCACGGCGAGGCAGTACTTGACGACTTCGAATTTAGAGGACTCTCAGCCTTCTTCATCAGCAGAGTTGGGGGGGTGGGCGGTGGGCAGACCCCCCTGAAGCTATTTGAGCTGTCACACAAACATATAAACACCCCCCACACACACACCCACAAGAACAAAGATCCCCCGTACAGCCTTTAACAGACTGCTGCGGCAAGTGCTGCATGAGCATAAATTAAGGCGGGCACAGCACACG